GCAGATAAATGATTTCCCTACGCTGTAAGTAGAAATTTTTATATTCGACCCATAAATCTTAAAAGGCGGCGGGTACGGAGTTGGGCTTATGATTGCCTTCGCATGAGGCTCAATTGTGTGCTTTGGTAAGCGGGAAGATTGCGCTTTAAAATAGTATTTACATTTTACGGATTTCATGAAAAAATTACTGGGAAGGACGACCCCCATTAATCCGCACGAAGCATCTGGATGGGCTCACTTCGAAACTCCTCGATTAGCACCTTCAAAAGTATCGACAACGTTAGATTCGACATAACGATCACAATTTTTCGCAAGAACAGAGATTTTAGCATACAAAATTTAAGAGACATCTCATCCCCGTCAAAAGTACAAAATAAATAGAAAGGAGCTTTAGAGTGAAGCATTAGCGCGTTATCAAATACCTTCTGGTTAGCGGGGATTTGCTTTTTGCACTCTTGGCGGAAATTACTTCTTCACGAGTACTCGCTATTGCTGAACTGGGTAGTTATACTTGTGTACGCTTTGATATGCGCTTTAATCTCATCTAACTTTGTAAAGCGCCATTTAATGTTTTGCTTGAGTGGGTAATCCCTAAAACTAATTCTCCTTTTTAAGTTGTAACAAGAGTGACAAAGCCAGAACCTGTTAATCAAGATTGATTATCATCTCAGATGATGCTGGCAACATTTTCTTTCCATATTAAAGACTGATTCTAAACATGATAAACCTTCCAAATTGCTCACAATTAATTAGGAACCTTGGGCAAATGTGAAGCATCCATTAAATGTTACGGTTTGCAGTTGTGATTCAAAGGTAACCTTAAGAAAGACCTATTTTGCATACATGACTTCACTTACTTCCTCTCTATTCGCATGCCATAAGGCCACCATCCACCAAAAAAAAATCATTCGTGAATTAATTGGTCAATATTAGTTCACGACAACCAAGCGCAACAAGTTCAACAGAAGCAAACAAGGGGCACAGAAAAATGAGATTTTTTAGAACTGGCTTGCCATGGATAACGAAGAGATTTGTAGATTTAGATACTTTACCACCAGAGACGAACTTTTGACGCTCATGGTGAACAACAAGTTCCGTAGATTTGGAATATTGTTGATAAAATAAGGAAGAAATATTAAGTGGTATGAACAATGTAAAAAATACTTCAAATGAAACATTCGGAAAATTCTAACTTGTATTTATATATCATCTCAAAGAGCTAACAAACAATTTGGTGAGACTACCCGAGTAGTAACTGAGGTGTCCACTGCATTTTTTTTGAAAATTTGTAAGCAAAATAGAAGCTTGTTGCAGCACTAAGACCTTGATGAGAACAGTGCAGTACA